ATGACTTGCCTCCTCCAGTGGAGGAGGATGCGCCTACCAGAGGTTTTCGAAAGCAAGTCGAGTACAAATAAGGACAATGTGGAACGCAATGGGAAAAAGCGTATGTTGTTGGGAGCGTTGGGAGCTTTGAGGATAAAATGTGATGAACCCTGGGAAACTCCGGTTTTCGTTGAATCTGTACAGTAGTAGATGGTGTGTGTATAATACAAATCCCGCTATGATCTCCTCCTCGCCGTACACGGTACAAAGTACAAAGCTCTTCTTGGCCCTTTCCCTTTTCCAATTCCCCTCCAACCCATCTTACAACATGACATGGTCGGTCTATTGGGATAGAGGCGCCGTCTGTCTTTGTTCCTTCAATTCCAAGTGTCTTTCTCTCGCGGCCTGCAACTTCTCCTCGGCGTCGGGGTGTCGTTCCTTGAGCTCTTTTAGAGTCTTCTCGCGGTGCGGCTGGGCAGGAGCCTTGCGCTTCTTGGCATCCTGCAGACGAACGACGCGGCCCTTGGGACCGGCGACGGCGCCGCTGACCAGCACGGTGCCCAGCTCGTTGTCCACCATCATGACCTTGAGGTTCTGCACCGTCACCCAGTCGTTGCCCATGCGGCCAGGCATCTTCTTGCCGGGCATGACTCGGCTACCGCTGCCCTGCGAGGGACCCGTCGTACCGATGGTGCGGTGGTTCTTGGAGTTACCGTGGGAGGCTTCCTGGCCCGAGAATCCGTGACGCTTCATACCACCGGCGAAGCCCATGCCGCGGGACTTCGACTTGACGTCGACGTACTGGCCCTTTTGGAACCAATCAGGTAGGATCTGGACACCAACGGGCAGCAGGCCCTCCTCGCCGCGGACCTTGAACTCGGCGAGCTCAGCCTTGGGAGCGATGCCCTTGGCCTCGAAGTAGCCCAGCATGGGGCTGGAGACGTTGCGGCCCTGGCGGGTGCCGGCGCCGATCTGGACGGCCCAGTAGCCGTTCTTCTCGCGGGTCTTGTTGGCGATGACCTGGACCTGGTCGAGCTGGAGGACGGTGCAGGGCACGCGGGTCTTGCCGACAAAGATGGCCGTCATGCCCTTCTTGACGGCGAGGACGCCGGAGCGCAGCGGGGTCGTGTTCTCACGGCGTTTGAGGGCGGCGGCGGGGCCGGTGGTGAGGGTAGGCAGGCCGGACGACGGCTGGTTGAAGCGGGCGTGCTTGTTGCGCGGGGGAGCGGTGGACCAGCCGTACTTGACGCCGCGGGACGGGACGAGCGGGAGGAGCAGCGGCCGGGCAGCGATTTCGGGGCGGGCGCAGGGGCGGGCGAGGGCCAGCCGGAGGGGGATGCGGGGCGGCATGGCGAGACGGAGGACGTGGCGACGAGCAATTGAGTCGGTTGCGGGCCACGCGGATGGTCGAGGAGGAGACGGGTTGGTGGGTGGTGATGGGAGAGGTCGTTTTGGTGTTGGTGGTGGTGAGGATGAAATTCGACAAATTCTGGACCCGCATGGAAAGCTGTGGCCAATCAGGAGCGGGTTGGGTTTGGGTTGGTCGGATATTCCCAAGCGGCGACGACGACGATAGTTGCAACGACAGCTCTAGTCTCAAGCTCTTGCTGCTCGGACGTGGATGAACTCGACTGGTTGGTGACAAGGAAACGGAATTTCCATTTGGGACAATCTGATGCTAGAAGTCATGTTCACTGCGGCTCTCTGCACTGTCTGTTTGGTAACTAATTCGTGCGTGAATCATAGACGCTCTCCGCGATTACATATTAAACTAATGGCACTATAGATCAACTAACTCCCGTTCCTGTTTTCCAGCAAAAACTATCCTATTTCATACAATCTGTCCTTGGGAACCACCCATGGTGGCTGATGAGGACTCGTGCGATTGTGCGGAGGTGGTGATTCCATCTCGGTCGGTATGTCCATCCTTCTGCCGTCATCAATCTCTACCGCCTGGACGCCGTGGTCCATGTGGATTGGACTACCCAACCTCCTGCCATCGTCCATCTTTGCTCCTATGTTGCCACCAGAGCCACCGGGAGGAGGGAGACGTGGTTTCTCTTGTGGGCTGACCTCCATCACTTGAGGGAGCTGAGGCTCTCTCTTCCCGCTGCCCACTTCCATCTGGCCCAGCCAATCGCTCTGGATCGAAGCCCGGATCTCTGCCTCGAGACGACGCTTGAGCTTCTTGCGTCGACGGCAGTAGAAGAATATCCCCGCAATGCTCAACAGCAAGACAGCTCCGCCCGCCGCTCCGCCGATGATGGGAGCCAGGTTTGTCTTTTTGTCGTCGTCAGCAGCCTTTGTCGGCTCGGCAGTTGCGGAGACGGTAGGCTCGCTGGTCGGGTCGACGGTTCCGAAGTTTGCGGTTTGCACCTGCGTAGCCGTGGCGATGGTTTGTGTAGCCGTGGCGATGACGATGACCGTCGAAGGCGCTCCTCCGCCGCCGTCAACGATGACGGTTTCTTGCCGTGCCTTGAGCTCGACGGCAGCCGACAGGTCCTGTTTCCGTGGAACAACGATGTGAGCAGGGAATACGAGGCTGGGTTGATTGGGGAGGAACACATACTGGGTGACAGCCAGCCCAATCTGAATTCTGGCACGCTCCTGTCCGTGGGCCGCCCGCCGTCAGACACAGCCCGCTGTCAAGACAGGTATCGCCATCTTGGCAGCAGACGGAGAAGCCGTCGACTTTGTTGCAGGGCACCCATTCTTCGTCTGCCTCAAGGCCGCCGGGGAAATAGCACGACGCTGCTGCACAGGTGATGAGTGCAGGCAGTGACAATAGCTGCCAGGAGCGCATGGTTTGTGTGTGTGGGTGTGTGTAACTCGGTATGTCACGGATGGATACCTACAGCACCGGAAGCAAACACATGGTTCTTTTCATGCAATGGTTTAAGAAGGAGGAGAAGGGAAATACGAGAAGGGCTTTGGACAAAACAGGCAACGGGCACACGGGATTTGAATATGCAAATCGTATCTCCCTCCCAACCCCCGAAAACAGGCGGGAAGCGAAGGCCGCCACGGAAGCCGCCCCAGTGCGCAGCGGCCCATTTGCCCATGGTTCAGCTCCGGCTCAGCCCAGCTCACTGCGCGAGTATACATAGTACGTGCTTTCGTACCTTGGATTGGGGATTAACACGTATGCAGAGCTAGCAAGAACCGGGCATCGCTTCATGCCTCCCTTGCTGACGACGGAGCTTTATCAGCTCGCAATTCGTCGCCTTGCCCACCCCCGCTTGCGTCGTGGCTTTTGGCGTGGCTTCTTTGGTGCGGTCTCGATTGGAGTCGGCGCAGCGGTAAGGCGGACTTTGGTTTGTTAGTTGTGTGCATCATGGATGGTCTTTATCAGCGACAAAAGTAGGGTTTGAGACATTTGCTGAAAGGGAATTGGTCCATTTGATCGTGGTGTGTGTGTGTGTGGGAGATGGAGGCTGTTTGTTTATCTCTGCGGAAAATAACTTTAACCAGATGCCATTACACATGTCGATAGAGTCATGAATTGTGTCTGTGAAGTCGGGTCTTGCAATGAAGATGTCCATTCCTCAATTCGATATCCTTCACCGTCAATCCCCAAGACACACGATCGCCCATGGCCAAAACCCAATTTTATACAAACAAAACAAAAATGACAGCTGAAGTATGCATACGTCCTTTCGCGGACAGGCCAATTCTATTCGCCCAAGGAGCTGAAATAGTGGAATGTCTCGCCATGTTGGCCCAATGTGGATGAGTGTGGATGGAGGCTAAAAATGTGTTGCCGTCTTGGTGGCTTGAAAACCTGACGGATGCATCTATTATTGTCTTGGCATCGCGGGGTGGCGATTTGATCCTGGCTCGTAACCTGAGGCTCGAGTTATTGCCGAGTCTACCGAGAGCTGCGTGGCCGTTTGCATCAGTTCAGGCCCGTTGGTTCCCGTTCAAACTCATCTCATCTTTTAACGTCGTTCCACCCCTTCACATGCCCGGCCCTCGCCCGCCTATCCCGCTCCCCATCTGATTCGTGCTCGTCCCCTTGACCTTGTGATCCCCCGGCTGAGCCGCTGACTCGTACATGATATTCGTCGGCGCCCGCCCCAGCTGCGTCCACTCGCCCTTGAACCCCAAGTACGAAATCCTCGTCACGTCCTCGTCGCCATCGCTGAAGTTGTCCGGGAAGAACAGCACCAGCTGCTGCACCTTGCCGAACAGCGCACGTCGCACGGGGATCTCTTGTAGGTCTCCCGTCTGTGAGAGCTCGAGCGTCTGCACGGGCTTTGATTCCTCGGCCGCCGAGAAGTCAAGGTCGTCGCGGTTGATGAAGAGGTGCAGCGTTTTGGGCGCGCTGAGGGAGGGGGATGTGCGGACGAGGATCGAGTGTAGCTTGATTTGGGCCGTGAATCTGACAATCAAGAGCTGTCAGTTCTTTTGATCATGCTGCTTCTCACTCGGTGTGTGATCAACTTACGGCACTGTCATGAGAAGCTGTTCATCAACGTCGCTCGCCAATTCAGGCTCGACGTCGAGTCTCTCCTGCCAGGTCTTCTTCACAATAGCCTGGCCACGGTCGCGATCGGCCTCGTTGAGGGTGACAATGCTGTTAAAGCTGATTTGGCTGTACAGCGAATATTGCACCGCGGGGGTGATATCGTCCGAGTGGTCGTGTTCGCCATGGTCGTGGCCGTGGTCGTGGCCGCCGTGGCCAACGTGCTCGTCGTGGCAGTGTGACATGTCTTTGGAGATGCAATGAGAGAAACAAAGAGGGATCAGGCAGACGCTGCGTATCAAGGCGTCGATGCACAGGTATGCAAGGTGAGAGATGGAAGCTGCTATTATCTTAAGGCCCGGCGTGAGGAATGACGTCTGGCGGGGGATGTTCAGGCACGGCCCCACTGTGGGGCTCAGCTGGTCTTCACTCTTCACCTCGCAACCCGACGACTCTCGGCGAGCATCACGATGAATATCACTGGAAACAACATCAGAAAACGCTCACAACACCAAAAAACAGACAAAAAAAAGTAACCGGATGGCCTTGGGGCAAGTGCTCCCGCACGGGCTTGAACCGTGGACCTTCGCATTACCAATTCTCTGCCGAAGAGGCGAGTATTAGTACGAAGCTCTAACCAACTGAGCTACGGAAGCCGTCCGACTGAACTGGTTGCTGATTTAGCGAGTACGACACACCATGAATCGATTGACCGCAGTGGAAGGAACCTGAGAGAAAGACAGCTAGGTAGATATCGAATGGCGACGACTCACTCCTAACCTCACTCCTAAACCTCAATTCCAACCTCACCAAATTGGAGCTGTTCCGTTGCTCGAGCTGCCATACTCTCAAGTCCACCAATACTATTCCCCGATCAAGGAATCAATTAGCAGCCTAATTGAAACTATCTCTAGGAACACCTAGCAAGCTGCACAGTGGACTGATGACCCAGAAGGGATAAACCCATACATGACCACAGTTGAGACCACACTTTTAGCCTGATGTATCTATCATGTTGGTAGCAATTGCGGACGTCGATCGACGGCCGCTATAGCCGTCTACGATACTATTATCACACTAAAATCGCGACTGAGCACACACTTCCATCAAAACCAGCCCTTCTGCTCGGCTTTGAAATCCACCGCTATGACCCGACGCTTCTTGCGGAACCACTTGTAGGCATCCTGTATCTTTCTGCCGCTTGCCAGTACAATCCTCCATGCTCGGACTCGGCGATGATCTCCTTCAGATCCTTAGCGCCCACTGTTGTGATGTCCCCAATCACAAATGCAAAGCCAATATGTCGAGTGACACCAAGGTTGAACCTCCGTGGGTCCCTGACAAAGCCTCGGCCACTCTCCTGGGTGGCTGTAGTTAGGAAGATGGAGACGGCTTCTTCTTTACCTTGGAAAGAGTCGGCCGTACCGGCCTCGACACCGCGCAGGCCCTCATAGAGAGGACCGTTGCTGTTCGTAAGAGTGACAAGACGTTGCTGAATCAAGCCTTCGAGGTAAGTCTTGGTTGCCTTGTAAGGAGACACTACCACGAATTTGGTTGCATGGGCCTTGATTAAAGACTCTATAAGAGCCAACGCAATCTTGGCCTGGCCCTGATTGAGTCTGAATGTATCAACTGTAGTGACTGGCGTGTGCAAACAGTCGATGAAGACAAGCCAGAATGGCCGCCAACGCCAACGCCAATGCAGTGGTTCATCTGGCTGAGAGCTTGAGAAAGAAGAGGCTGCATGGCCGTCGACATCAGGACGCATCAGAAGCCTGAATAAGATGCAGACGCATACTCCATATACAAAAGAATAAAAAATAAGAAGAGCATCAGAGGCAAACATTATCCATGTCACAATAGTATTGGTTTTTATAACATAAAGTAAAGCCATCTAGCGAGCACTCTTCGTCATGGCACCAAGGGCCTGAGACCCCGAAGCCATCCATACACGTGGAGACGACTACAGCAGCTAATATTCGTGTCTCTGGGTTATTGAGGGAAACTTGGCTTCCCTGCCTGACGAAACGACTCCAACTTGGTGAGGTTTAGGGGTGAGGTTAGGTTTGGGAGTGACGTTCAGGAGTGAGGTTAGGAGTGAGGGGAAACTGAGCGCAACACGTTCGGCCGCATTTCAGAGCTGAAGTGCTTGATACACGTTGCCAAGGAAAGGCCATTGGAAGGAAAGGGATATCGGAGAAAAAGACTGTTGAAACCTGGCGAGGGATGTTGTAAGACATCAATAGATAACTTCAATCTGCTGTGCTCAAACACCATCCATCCAGGTATTAAAGAACGCAAGCTGGAAGTTACTCATCACTATTCCATGTTGTCTACCTTCTTACATCTATGTTTAACAAGTTACATCACAGGGATACGATATGAGGAAGGGCAGATTCAAGTAGTATGCTTGTCAGAAATAAGCTCTTTGCTCTTATTTGCACGCTTTCTATATCCCCTGGGTATCACAATACAAAGAACTACCTCATTCACCTGAATCCACTCTTCCTCTTCGGCTTCTTGACCTTCTTCCGGTCTCCAAACGCACCTGGCATCGGCTGACTCATGGCCACGGGAAGGAACTGTGACAAGCCTTGGCTCTGTGATGAGTCGGGTCCTCGCTGCTGGCTCGACATGGTTTGCACCGCTGGCGGGCGCACTGGTACTGGTTGGGACGGCAAGTCGCTGTTCGCCGCCTCAGTCCTCCGTCGACTGCTCTGGGACTGGGGCGCACCCTGCCTCATGAACGCTGGAAGCTTGTACTTCTCAGCCTGTGCCTTGCGCCTGTCCTCAATCTTCTTCAGTCGCCTCTTGGCCTCGTCGAATTGGCTCTCGCTAGCAATAGCAACACTGGATACGTAGTCTTCCGTACCGCTTCCGCGGTGGGCAGGCCAGTAAGAGAGGACAGTCGACGATTTCGCCTTTGCCATATTACCGAGCCGCAAAGACGGTGCCAAGAGCTGCAGTCTCTGCACCGCTGCATCTGGAGAGTCGACGGAGGTGGTGCTGCCAGGCGAAGATGGTATCCCGGCGTCGGACGATTGAGATGACATGATGGGGATCGAGCTTGACCGACGTGGTTGGCTGTTGCCAATCACGTCTTCTTGACTTCCAGCGCCAAAGAGTGTGACATCTTGAACCATGACTCCATATGTAGAAAGATAGGCCTCTCTAGCAAAGTCTGCTACCCAGTCCCGTCTTGTTGCTTCCTCTTGTTCCCCTACTCTGCCTCCCAAATCCTCTAGCCAGAGGTCTGAAAAGGATCGAGTAACATCTGACAACATGTTGAGTCCGCCGAAGGGTCCACCCGTGGAGAACCTTCCAAGGCGCGTCACGACTGTGCCCTCGTCATTCTTCAATACCAGATCGTCCAAGTCATGTTGCGCCGCGTCATCATCTGGATCGTGCTGTGACAGCTCCATGCGATCACCGACTTCTTTCCTAGAGAACTGTAAGCGATTGACTATCTCGGCCGTGCCCAGAACAACATACCATGTGGTCAATGGGAGCTTTCCATTCACCACGCCGTCTTCGATGGTTTGGTAAATGGCGGAGATCAATGCCGGGGAAACGTCCCTCTTCGCCGAATGACTGGACTTGGCGTCTTCAATGGCTCGCACGAAGGTGTCCAGCTTCAACTCAATAGGACCTTGTACTCGTAAAGTCTCCATACTCCTTCGTCTTGGGTTATTCTGCCGAACGAGCGAATTCATGTTGAAATCGTCAACACCATCTGGGAACACGAATGCACTTTCTACGTGACGAAGAAAGTGTTTCCGCTTCTTTTTCCATAGTTTTGTTTGATCTCCTTTGGACCGGTCCACTCGAGTTGTAGGAAGGCTGATGTCCATAACTGGGTCCAGCGCTGATGCGCATATGTAGTATCGTACGCCAAGGTCCTTGTCGAGTATACTGCCTTGATAGAAACGAACGCCACCTCGGCGGTAGTTGGACCCTGGTCCTCGAACTGAATCTTGGACAGACCCTTTCGTCGGGATGAGGTTGCAGGAATGAATCTCAAGAGACTGGACCTCACTCATCAAACCCGTATCACTGCTTTGGTCCGGTAAAGCAACAATTTGGCGGTTCCACTGGGGGATGTCCTTTTTGGAATAGCTGAACAAATACGTATGCGTCTGTTTTTCCTTGGGCGAGTAAGTAATGGCCATGCAGGCGTCCTGGCCTTGGCTATCCGAGGTTCGGCATGTCGTCATTCGCAGGGCCTCGCCGTCTATTAAATGAGGGCAAGCAATCAGGACTGAAGGGTAGGTGCCCTCTTCATCTTCTTGCTTGGTAACAAAAAGGTCAATCCAATAAAGATGACGCATCGTCAAGACGAAAATGTGGTTTTGGTTGACAGGGCTAACTTGAATGTCAATAATCCAATCAGGCCTTGCCTTTGTCGGCGTAAGGACTGATAATCGAGGTAGAGTCATTTTCGAGACCAAGTCTATAACTTCGAATGTAGCACGGCTCCAAAGCAAAAGATGCTGCGATCGAGTTGCGAAACTGCCACCCTCCTCTGCATTCTGGGACGGATCACCCCAGAAGTCGTCCACGTCAGCAGTCCCTACGAACATGAGTCCGTGGACTTGGGCTGGAAATGCTGGCGTGGTAGGTATCTCGTGCAGGAGGCCTTCTAGCATATGTCCGCACTTGTCCATGGAGAGGCGTGTCGTGTTTTTCCCAAATGTGGTGGTCCCCATAACATCCCAGACGCTCCAATATCCGCACTCGTCTATGACGGCCAACTGAGGTGGCTGGCCCTTGGCGCCAGGATTGAAAGCAACATCAACATGTGCGTTGCCGCCCGTTTGCTTATGAGACAGTGTTATTAGGGGCTTCGGGTCAATCCGTGACAACCGCTTCTGCCCATCTAGGCTGTCGGGCTCTTTCTGGGTCACAGGCACTCTGTGGTACTCGGGTTGAAGAATTGTCGTCGATGTCTGCTTCTGGACCAGAAGCCAGCGTACGCCATCGTAGCGAGTGAGGCTGGTAGCGAATTTGATCTGTGATATAGAAAGACCATCGCTGGCCCAGATAGCCTCTTCCTCAGAGTCATCTAGGTCAATGACTGAAAGGCTCAAAGTTACATCTTTGTGCTGAGCCCATCCCCATCTCGATTCATCAATCCGAGCCAGTCGTAAAAGCTCGCCCGACTCGCCCGTTGCTACAGCAAGCACCAAAGCACCAGACACTCGCGTGGCGTCACGAACATTTGTCATTTGGCCATAAGCAAGTAACGGCTTGTCAGTTACGTAGCCTTCGAATTTCTGGAAGCGGTCCATGTTTTCTTCCAAGAATCCCTGCAGAGCTGAGTTGCCCATTGAAGCCTCGGGGTGGGCTTGGAGAAGCCATCTTTTCTGTGTGCGCCGTTTCTGCCACAAGTCTGATGATCCTCCCTCAGGGATGGAAGTCTTTGAAGGAGGATATAGCTCAGTTGAGGAGCCTATAACCTTGATGTGCGGCGCTGGACATGATCAGCAACTGCTCAGGTTAAGTGAAGGTGTAAACTCACTGTTTGATGCGATGCGACTGGTATGCAGAACTCCAGGTTGGGCAGTTTCTGCATCCTTTGGTGAAATATAAGTAATCCGCCCTAAGTGACCAAATCCCAGGTCCAGTTGTCTCCGGGGTCAGCCATTTGGACCGAGTA